GAGACCAAAAAAAAAAAGCTCTCTAGCTTTTTGCTTGGAGGTGTGACTGTGTGCCAAGTTGTCATGTTTAAATCACAGCCAATAGTGGGGAGGGCCCAGGGTGGAGACTCGAGCAAAGCGCTCTTCCCAAATGGCATGTGAGTTCTTGATCAGCCTGCTCAGCCACCTCTAAGAGCCTCGGAAGTAGGGGGAATTCCAAACCTCTGGTTCAAAAATGCTCAGGTGGCATTTCCTTGTGAATGAAGGAGACAGGAGCTTGTGGATCCCAGGACAATTTTGATTTCTCAATATCACCATCCAGAGAGGCCTCACTACATGACTGAGCAAAGAGAGGAAGAGCTGGAGCTTCAGCCACAGGAAACGGTGGTTTGAAAATGGGAGCACAGGTGTCGCGCTGATGGCACACACACACACTTGCCTCCTGGCCCCATCTTGTTATTGTAACATATAAGCCAAGTGGGTCACTGCTCCTTTGCTTTGATTCCTGCCTTGGGCCATTCAGCAGGTGATCCTGCATTCCTTCTGGTAATTTTTAAAGAAAAAGGTACATAGCAGTCTTTTTCCGGATCCATTTTTGTGGATTCTAATTTAACTTAGTTCATCGAGTGCATACTGAGTGACCTCCTGCCCTATATTGTTTCAGGTGGAATGGAGGACAGAGCTAAAGAATAACATACAGGGCTTACTTAGTGGAACTTGCAATCGAAGTGGGACTTCTATATCTTACTAGGTAGAAAAATATAATATTTAAAGAAACATATTATAATCAAGGAACTGCTACTAGAATTCCTCTTTGAAAAGGAACCGTACTTGTTTAGGCTGGTACCTTAATGAATGCTAGAAGGCAGGTGGAGACCCCCGAGGAATCTGCCTGTGGGTTGGATGGTTCCGTATGAGAAAGGAGGCAGATGAGGCTTGTGCAGAAATGGGAAGAGAAAGAGAGGGTCTGGGCCTGCTAGGTGATGAAAGCTGCCTGGTTGACAGTGGAATTTGCTCCCTGGGACCCTCCAATCTTCAGTAGAGGACTTAAACCCACAAAATTCTTGGTGTAGGTTAAAATTTTTTTTTGGTTTGTTTGTGGAAACTGGTTGTATTAGTCTGTTCTCACACTGTGAACAAAGACATACCTGAGACTGGGTGATTTATAAAGGAAAGAGGTTTAATTGGCTCACACTTCCACATGGCTGGGGAGGCCTCACAATCGTGGCTGAAGGTGAATGAAGAAGAAAATCATGTCTTGCATGGCAGCAGGCAAGAGAGCTTGTGCAGAGAAACTCCCATGTATAAAACCATCAGATCTGCCAGACTTATTCGCTACCCTAAGAACAGCATGCGGGAAACCGCCTCATGATTCAATTATCTCCACCTGACCCCACCCTTGACACATGGGGATTATTACAATTCAAGCTGAGATTTGGGTGGGGGCGCAGCCTAACCATATCCCTGATGAAGGGACTGAACCTTGCACCCAAGACAGCACAGAATAGAGCAAGAGGGGCTATAGGAGCAAAGACTTAGAGAACCATGAGCAAATTACTCCCAGAAATTACAGAAATCATGTGCAGCTTGACCCCCAACAAGCTGTAATAGTAGCACCTTTTTCATATTTATTCAAATTCCTAAGAGCACAGAGTCTCTGACATTTGACTTCCACGTAAATATCATAATTAGAGAATGGCAACAAATGGATGAGCACCAAGTGTAAAAATACTTTGGCCTACTATACAGATGGGGAAACTAAGCCATACGTAAAGAACAGATGGGGCTGAAGCATCTCCGGACACCAGTGAAGAGACTCCTTTGGACTTGAGATCAGATTCATTTTCTTGTCTTTCCAATCAATCAGCAAGAATTTACTGAGACTCTACTTCCTGAGTACTAAGAGAGCTGCAAAATAAGTGTAAGAGAGGGTCTCTGGCCACCTGGAACCTAAGGATTAGTTGGAGAATTGAGGCTAAGGAAGTAACTGACATTTATTGACCACAGGATGGATTCCAGACATTGCTCTGGGCACTTTCCGTAATTACTGCATGGGTTTCTCAGAACAACATTGTGAACTTATTGTTATGCTCATTTTACAGATGAGAAAATTGAAGCCACAGAGGATGTGAGTAGCCTATCTATAGTCACAGAGCTATCAAGTGGTAGACCCAGAATTTGAACCTATCTACCTGGCTCCAAATACTACCACTGAAAATGGTCTCTCCATGGTAAAGACGATGTTGCCAAAATTCAGGTTCTAAGATACATGATATAAACCACAGGTGCTGGTGCTGCAGGAGTTCAAGGGAGAGGGAAGAACAAGAGCTGGGATGGCCAGGAAAGGTAACACAGAGAAAGTAAGATTGGCCTGGGCATCAAGGCTGGAAGGAGAGTATGGGGTGGAGCCTGGGGCCAGGGATGAGCATGAGTTGGGTGGAGGATAGTGAAGGATGCTCAGAAGGCTTTTGACTCAAAAGATTTGAGTCAAAAGGGCTTTGGCATCACCAGTGCCTTCTTTATGGGGGCCCCATCTCTAGGCTAAAACACAAACCAAAAAATCTGCAGTTCTCATCTTATCCAACTCTGTCACTGACTTTTTCTGTGGTTCTAGTTACTCCTGTCTGAGTCTAAGTGTCCTCAAAATAAAAGTAGTGGGTTGGGTGAAATAGGCACTATACTATACTTCCCTTAAGCTTAAAAAAAGTCTGTGGTTCACATTTGTATTCAAAGATTAGGAAAAAAATTCGAGCTTATAAAATATCTTTCAGGACCGTGGCCAACTTGTGTCTCAGATCTAGATGGACGGGCAGAAGCTTGTCTTAGGACAAAGGTGGCTGATTGCTTTCATCCTCCTGAGACCCTAGAAAGATAGAGAGGGCCGACATTATCATGTCCTGCAGCCTTGGTGCTGCACCCAGTCATCGTTAGTTTCTGTGAGTTGGTGGGCAGCAGAGCAACCAGCACCGGGTGCGAGGGAGAGGAGGCTGACTCGACAGGCCTCACCGATGCCCTTTCATCATGTTATTTTCCAATTCCAAGGTGCTACTTTTCTGTTGGTTTTATTTTTTTAATCTCAAATGAAATTGGAGAGAAATAATATCTTTTAAAGTGATGTAAATGGCAGGGGTGTTTCTTCTCAAATCAACTGTTACATTAGAAATTCTCAAAATATCTATGATAGAAGAAAAAAGAGGAACTAGTCTCAAAATAGTAAGTGCTACTAGAATAGTTTGCTGGATCAGTTCCATAGGCTGATGAAACACAAAGTTCAGGCTATTGGCTTTGCTTCTTATCCTGGTATTTGAGTGATTTCTCCAGCAGTTCCTGATGTCGGTATCATAAACCTTGAATGGATCAATCTCACACACACACACACACACACACACACACACACGCTCCTGCACAGAGGGTTCTCAGTGACCATAAGTCACTCAGGGTAGAACTGCTCCCTCCTCTAGCATCAACAATGATTCGAAATGTCATGCTTTATACAAATTGAGAACTCTCTGCCTGCCCCTAACTTTTTTTTTTCAATCAGAGCATATGGCTGTTGAAGCTGGTACCAGAATTAAAACATTTACTTTAGGGAATAGAATCCATAACCAAGGTGCTTGCAAAGCCAGTTCAGTAAGATTCCTTGGGCTAATTTGATGTATGAAAGGCCTAAGGATAAAAAGAGAGGCTCTTTTCAAACTCGGAAGGAAACTTGTGGTCAGCTATCAGGGTGGAGGCCCCCTTGGATCTTGGTAGGATGCCTTTTACAAATTTGTCGAGATTGTCTGTATCTTTGGTCACTCTGTAAACATCTGGTTGTGTCCACCATGATTCTGTTCCTTTGGAACCCACTTTTTTCTTTTTCAATTTCTGCCCCACAAATTCATCACAGGTTCAACAACAAGCAGGCTTATTCCACAACCATCCTTCTAACTTTCCCTTCCACATCAATGTTACCTGGTGTTACTCTATTTAGAACCTTAGTGTGAATACTCTACTTAGAACCCTAGTGCTTCAGGTTGGTCCCCACTGTTCACACCCTGGTCTAACTTTTCCCAAGCCCGTAAGTGTTTTTGGCTCTCCAAGAAGTCTGTCTTTAGTATTCAGCCACATTTCTACTCCTAAAGCAAGCTGTTAGTTATTGAGGTTCTCCAGGCTGTTTTCCTTCTCTGCAAAATGGGAGTAATGAGTGTACCCACCTTGTAAGATTACTGTGAGGATTAAATGTTAGCACACATGATGCACTAACAATATATGGCCCATTGCAGTGCTGAATAATTGTTTATTATGATCTTACTGAGCTACGTGTCTTGGGGCAATAGTTCTCATTCACTGTTTTTCAAAGTGTTGCGCCTGGTCCAAAAGGATTTGGTAAAGTGGGTAAAGGAGACAAAGCAATGAAAGTTGTCTGTCTGATTTTAAGCCTTGGTGATTAGTTGTCAGGCTAATTTTAAACATGAGGATGATTTAGAGGAAAGACTAAATGCTTTCCTTTCAGTTCAGGTCTGCTGGGTTTAACACAGTTATTTGCATAAAAGGACAACAATAGCACTGTGATGTTTATCTTTTAAAAAGAAAAGTAGATCTTTCTCCCAGTGTCTCATGAGAGTAATGTGAATTCACAGGGACAGCACATGGAACCATTATGTTCTCTTTACTCAAAATGGATACAGGACACATTAGAAATCTTAGGATAGAGAAACTGGGCAGAGAGATTGACTTAGGAGAGATGAAGATAAATTTAATTTTAGACATGTGGTCGTTGAGTTAAAAATAAAGCATTTGGATAGAAAAATCTTGATGAAATTAAGAATGTGAAAGTATATAGAGAGAAATTAGAATAAGAAAACAGACATAAGAATCTTCAGTGGTCTAAAGCTGATCTCTAAAACCATGAAAACAAACGTCTCCCTTGGGAGAGAATGCAGAAATAGAACATGAGGCTCCTTTATCCGACTTCATGTAGGATGTTTTTAAACTCAGAATACTTTTGAGATTGGTCTTTGACCTTTTTTTTTTTTCAGAGACAAATATATGGCCAGTGTATCTTTGGTTGTCCGTAGCGGGGGTCATCATTATCCTCATCGTGATTGCAATAGTGCTGCTGAGAAGAAGAGGTAGGTGTCTGGCAATAAAGACATTCTGATCGCACTCTTTGTGGTAAGCAGGGGACCTCTTGCCACGGGCTCGGACTTGCTGTCACCACGTTGGCTTTCTGCATGGGGCCACCTTTGCAAAAATACTAGATAAACATATCCTGGTTCCTTGCTTAATTCAGTCTAATTCAACATGTCTTGATCCCCTCTACTAGGCTATGGAGAGAAATAGAAGAGCCACAGGTTTCTAATGTGAGTGGCATTATTCAGATAATTTCAGTTCAGTGTGACTGGCACTGCCATCAAGGTAAAGACAGGATGCTGAAGAGATGTACAAGAGGTTTAAGAGTATTCACTGAGAACAGAATTCAGAAAACTCTTGGATCTCATCCAAAAAGTCACCAAGGTTAAAATGAAACCAGTAAGGCACAGTCATTCCCCTGCAGTTTAAGCATCTAGAGGTACCATCCCCTGTCCTCTCTTCCAAATTTCCCTATGATTCAATATCTCAGGGCATTGTGCTCTCTTCAGCCACCCTGACTACTACCAATCCACACTGGAGTCAAAATGTCCTGACCAGGACCAGGAAAGATGCCCCGGCTGCCTTCCCATGGTAAGGATAGAACTTGATCCTCATACCACCGAGCTGATGACTGATTTCATTCTCAAGTAGATCAATATCATCTACATGTAACCTTCTTAGAAAAGCCCTTACCTCGGCACTCCAATGTTGGTTTTGCTTATATAAAAAAAAATCTAGATTGTGAGACAAAGCGACCTACTTGTGTCTCATTTCCTCCATCTAAGAGTCAGCTAGGGAGGAGGGATGGGTGATTCAGATAGAAATTACGTTGACAGCCTATGGGGCTGCAGGTGGGGCAATCACGTTTAGCTTGTGTTATAAAGAAACAGTGAGATACCCGGGATGAGAAAACTGGACTGAGCTTATCCGCATTAACCCACCTAGCAAAGTTGCTGGGATCCTACCCCATACACTTTCTTCAACTATGCTTGGCTCATCACATGGTTGTGCTCTAAGGGAATGGCGTGCCCCATCCCACAATTCCCCATTACCTTCCTCAACACATATACCCATCCTCACCTCCAGTCACCATTTGTCCCTTGTAAGTTAGCAACACAAAAAACTCTGCCTCACACTTGTGGTAAAATCTATATTTAGTTGCTATAGTTTCCACAAAACGTTGCTCAAGAACTTCTGTTGGCAGCTTCTAATGATATAATCTTCAGAATGCAGCCCGACTCTGAAAGCTTTCAGTGGACTCTTTGGCAGTGTCATGCCAGGAGAACACACTGATTAAGAATGTGGGTATGGGCACTGGACAAACTTACATTCAAATGCACATTTTGCTACTGACAAGCTGTGTAGTCAAATGACTTAACTTCTCATCTGCAAAACAGGGGAAATTTATGTACCTCATGGTATTGTTGTGGGGACTAGTATCAATACACAGAAAACACTAAGCACAGTGGTTCCCATGGATGAGTGTTAGATAGATACATACATACATAGACAGACAAATCTCTTAGTGTAGGGGAGTTAAAACACCAATGTTTAAGTGTTATGGCCAGGAGAGGCCTGCACTGGAAGCATCTGGAAACAATATCTAGAACAGTTTTAAAGTATTTGGAGTCATGGTAACGTAAGACTTTATGCTTCAGGTAAGAGCTGAAAAGGATATTACTCTACACTCTCATTTTACAATTATGGTAAGAGAAGAGATCCATTGACATGACATGATTTATGCCACACAGCTATTAATGGCTGGAATGTAAATGTCCTAATTCTAAGGCCAAGACTTTTTCATTAGAGCCTAAGACCTTGCTGACTTGGAGCCGAGTTGAGCTTGCTCCTGAAAACCTGTTCTTGCAATGGGGAAAATAATCTGAGTCTGAATTATCTTGGTCCAATGGTACTTTTAAGCAGCAACAATCAGCCTCACCTTTTCCATCTGTCTAACCATTTAGGACTGTCCTCCCAATCTGACATTTGAGTCTGAGCTGACTGCAAGACTGAAAGTTTTTGAGGACTGGAGTCTGTTCTCTACTCTATTTGTAGCCACCACAGCACCTGAGAGAGTGCTGGGCAGGCATGTCTAACTTTGCAAACACTCATGGGGACTAACAGGCACCCCCTTTGCTACCTCCAACTGCTTCTTGAGTCCTTCTCTCCATTTTACACACACACACACACACACACGCCTCAGAATCAACTCTGACCAAAAAAGTGAAGTTGAAACCACTAGGCACACCATGCTCATACCCACACACACACACACAAAAAAAAACCCATGTTGACTTTCCTTGAATTCTTGGAACTTCATCAGTGGCTGGTCAACATTTCCTCCCCAAGACTCACACCGTCACACAGCACATTCTACCATGCTTACCACATACAGACATACAGACCGGGCCTTTCCCTTCCTCTCTTATAGGAATAGAGCTCAGCCTGGCCAACATGCCTGCTGCACAGAGCTGACCTACGGGGATATACTCTTAAAAGTAGTTTCTTCTTTTCCCCTCCCTCCACCCCTTCTTTTCACAGGTACTGGAAAAAAAAAAAAGGGTTTCTTTTGGGAATAAAATTGGGTTGGTTAATGGGGGAAGGGGACTTAATATTTTTTACTTTATACTTTTCTTCACAATTTTTGTTTTATGGTGAGAATAAATTACTCCCATGATTTAAAAAGAAACTTTTTAAAATTGGCTAAAAATTAAAATGTTCTGTAACTTATTAATTTCCAGAGACCCCAGGCCCTGAGCAAAATATCCAGATGGTAGGCAACAGAATGACATTGTTGCTTTCTTTTCCAAATAGTCCCAGATGGAACATCCCTGCTACACGTCCCCCCACCCTCATCCCCCACACATCGATTCCCCCAGAAATAGGGAGGTGAGAAAGCTGTGAGTGAAGCTGGTAGTAAGCAGCTGGAAAATACAAAAGAGGTATAAATAACTAGCCCTGCCCTCAAAGGACCTAGAAGCCTATTAGGAGACCAGGGGAAAGATACGCTCCTTGAGCAACAGAGATTAAAACACCAATGAGAATACAACAATGAGAAGAACACCTAATGCATATTGGGCATTTGCTATGCGCCAGGCAATGCTCTAAACACTTTACAAGTGGTATGTGATCTAACTATCACACAGCCCCATGAGGCAGGTATTTCAAATCCCATTTCACAGATAGGCCTAGAGAGATCAAGTAACTAACCTAAGACCACATGGCAAACGTGCAGGGAGTTTGGGACTCAGGGCTTTGTTTCTACGGTACTCTTGGGGAAAGTGAGTATGCAAAGGAGAGTAAAGACCAGAGAGAGGTCTGAGCAGGAAGCTCCTGCTGGGGACCAGAGGAAGATAACCATTATGGTTTCTTTTCACCAGGTAAAACGGACCATTACCAGACAACAACGGAAAAAAAAAAACCTTACGATCTATGCCCAAGTCCAGAAACCAGGTGTAAGTTCTATACATTGTCTGAGATGAACCTGTCATGTTTCCCATGGGATTCCTGGCCAGTCTACCTTGCCTGTTTGACATTCACAGTTTTCCATCCAGAGCAGAGGAAAGTAGGGAACAGGAGTCAAGAACAAGAGCTCTCTTAAAGGTCACTAAACCTCAGTTTTTGAAATAATGGGATAATTTTCTGATCATGTTTCTTCATAGCAAAAAAATGAAGAAGCTGGAAATCCACGCTGTGTGACTCTTTCCAGCTCTGGCATTCCAGGAGTCTAGGGTTCTATGTTACTCAATTACTCCCTCTAGGGAAAAGAGAGGAGAAGCTTTGGAAAAGCTATTGTGTGACATGTTGGAAGTGACAGGGAAGGCAGAATCTTCAAAATTTTGGTTAGAGTGTGGTTAAAGAGATGAAAGATGATATATAGGCTGGAGATGGAAGAAAGCACAACTGTGATAGAGTGATCATTGGACTCAGAAGTGAAGAATGAAAAAACTGGGCCCATGGTGAAGTTGAGAGCAGATATGCTAGAAGAAAGAGATAGAGACGCTAAAAAGTTGTGGTTAGATGTAGAGACACTGTAGTTTTTCAACATGAAGGCAATTCTTGGTAATGCTTAGGCCAGAATCTGGCCATTTGAGGTGTAGGGAGAAGCAAATTCTTGAGTAAAGGATGTGAAGGCAAAGACAGTTTTTATTAGTACCTTAGAAAATTGCATCAAATGACAGCAAATGCACTTCTGAGAACCAGAAGTGCATTCTGATGGACTCTTGGACAAAGTTCTTATTTCTGCTCTCCCCTAGTGGCCTGGAGGGTTTATTACACAGCCCTGCTCCATCCTTCCCCCTCATTTAAATAAACCACACTCCATTTAAATAGATGAGAATCCCAAGAGGAACCCTTTTCCTCCATGCTCTCATCTGCATACTTAGGTAACCAGGTTCATCTTTACCATGGTGTCTTCCCTCTCTACTCTATCCTATGCTGCTAGCATCCCTCTTTTACTGTGAAGCATGACACATGGTAGTCACTAGCCACATGGTAGCTTTTTAAATTTAAATTAATTTGAATTAAATAAAATTTAAAATTCAGTGGCATTCGTCAGCTCAGGACTATCCTCCTGAGAACTCAAATGTCAACATTTGAGTCTGAGCTGACCTGCAAGACTGAAAGTCTTTGAGGATTGGAGTCTGTTCTCTATTTGTAGCTACTATAGCACCTAGGAGAGTGCTGGGCATGCATGTCTAACTTTGCAAACACTCGTGGGGACTAAATTACACCTCCTCTGCTACCTCCAACTGCTTCTGATCACACTCTGAGTCCTCCCCTCCATTTTACACACACACACACACACACACACACACACACACACACTCTCTGTCATGCATGCCCACTACCTCAGTCAGGATCAACTCTGACCAAAAAAGTACACAACACATAAATGTCAGCTCAATGAATTACCCATAAGTGCATATCTTGATATTTGGTAAAGCAAGTCTTCCTAATTTGTTTTTCTGCAAGAGTTTTTGGCTATTCTTGTTCCTTTGTACTTTCACATGTATTTTAGAATCAACTTACCAAGATCACAAAAGAAAAATTTATTAGGATTGCATTGAATCTACAGATCTATATGAGGAGAAATTACATCTTTCAGTATTGAGTCTTTTTTTTGAGACAGAGTCTTGCTGTCACCCAAGCTAGAGTGTAGTGGTGTGATCTCAGCTCACTGCACACTGCAACCTCCTCTGCCTCCTGGGTTCAAGTGATTCTCCTGCCTCAGCCTCCCAATAGCTGAGATTACAGGCATCTGCCACCATGCCTGGCTAATTTTTGTTTCTTTAGTTTCACCATGTTGGCCTGGTTGATCTCAAACGCCTGACCTCAAGTGATCTTCCCGTCTCAGCCTCTCAAAGTGCTGGGGTTATGTGAGCCACTGTGCCCGGCTTCAGTATTGAGTCTTCTCATTCCACAAAACTACCACGCAGATCAAAGAATAGAACATTGCTCATACTTCCTGAAGGCCTCCTGTGCCACTTCCCAATCATTACTTCCTCTCTTTTCCCAGAATATAATCACTATCCTGACTTCTAGAAATACAGTTTAGCTTTCCCTTTTTTATGTTTTGACCTTTATAAAAATGGATTTTTTAATTCTTTTCTCTCTGGTGTCTCATTTATTTTGCTCAATGTTATCTTCATGAGATTCATACATGTCTTTGAATTTAGATATAATGCATTCTTTTTCATTGCTTCATAAAACATAAACGTGTGAATATACTAGAGTTTATTTATCCAGTTGACTATTGATGGACATGTGGGTTATTTTCAGTTTGAGGCTATTATGGAAGTTGCAGCTGTGAAATTCATATGCAAGCTGTTAATTAGACATGTACACATATTTTCGTTGGGTGTATACCTAGAAGTAGAATTACTGAATCATAGGGCATACATATCTTCAAATTGACTAGATAAGGTCAAGCTGTTTTTCCATTTACTTTTCTATCAGCTACATATGAGCATCTCAATTGCTATGCATTCTTTTTTTTTTTTTCTTTGTGACAGAATCTCCCTCTGTTGCCTAGAAGTAGAATTACTGAATCATAGGGCATGCATATCTTCAAATTGACTAGATAAGGCCAAGCTGTTTTTCCATTTAAGGTTGGAGTGCAGTGGAGCGATCTCAGCTCACTGTAACCTCTGCCTCCAGGGTTTAAGCCATTCTCCTGTCTCAGCCTCCCAAGTAGCTGGGATTATAGATGCATACCACCACACCTGGCTCATTTCGTATTTTTAGTAGAGACAAGAGTTTCACCATGTTGGCTAGGCTGGTCTCAAACTTCTGATCTCAGGTGATCTGCCTGCCTCAGCCTCCCAAAGTGCTGAGATTACAGGAGTGAGCCACTGTGCCTGGCCTCAACTGCTCTGCATTCTAATGAAAACTTGGTATTAGCAGTCTAATTTTAGTCCTACTCTTGGATGTGCCTTCTTATGCTTTTATTATATCTCTTTAATTATTAAGGAAGTTGAATAACTTTTCATATGTTTATTAGTCATATTAAAATTATCTTTCTTAAAGTGCCCATTTGATTTTTTGCTCATTTTCCTTTGAGGTTTAAGTCTTTCTTTTATGGACTAGCATATGCTTTTCATATATTTTGGATATGTGCCCTTTGGCAGGTATGTTAGCAAATACCTTCACCTGTGGCTTGCCTTTGGAATTTCTTAGAGATACCTATTGATAAAGGGAAGGCCTTAGTTTTGTTGTAGACCAATTTAGTAATTCTTTTTAAGTATTACCAGATTTTATTTGCTAATATATAGTTATGAGTTTTGTTTTTCACTTATGTTTCTGAGTGAAATTGGCCTGTAATTCTTTTCTTGTAATACCTTTAAAACAAAAATTTTATTGTATTTTAAGTTCTGAGATACACCTGCAGAATGTGCAGATTTGTTACATAAGTATACACATGCCACGGTGGGTTGCTGCACCCATCAACCCATCATCTACATTAGGTATTTCTTTTTATGCTATCCCTCCCCTAGCCCAGTGTGTGATGTTTCCCTCCCCTGTGTTCATGTGTTCTCATTGTTCAACTCCCGTTTATGAGTGAGAACAGCCAGTGTTCAATTTTCTGTTCTTGTGTTAGTTTGCTGAGAATGATGGTTTCCAGCTTCATCCATGTTCCTGCAAAGGACACAAACTCATCTTTTTAAATGGCTGCATAGTATTCCATGGTGTATATGTGCCACATTTTCTGTATCCAGCCTATCATTAATGGGCATTTGGGTTGGTTCCAAGTTTTTGCTATTGTGAATAGTGTTGCAATAAACATATGTGTGCAGGTGTCCTTATAGTAGAATGATTTATAATCCTTTATATATACCTAGTAATGGACTTGCTGGGTCAAATGCTGTTTCTAGTTCTAGATCCTTGAGGAATCACCACACTGTCTTCCACAATGGTTGAACTAATTTACACTCCTACCAAGAGTGTAAAAGCCTTCCTATTTCTCCACATCCTCTTCAGCATCTATTGTTTCCTGACTTTTTAATAATCATTCTAACTAGCATGAGATGATATCTAATTGTGGTTTTATTTGCATTTCTTTAATGACTGGTGATGATGAGCTTTTTTTTCATGTTTTTTGGCCACATAAATGTCTTCTTTTGAGAAGTTTCTGTTCATATCCTTTGCCCGCTTTTTGATGGGGTTGTTTTTTTCTTGTAAATTTGTTTAAATTCTTTGTAGATTCTAGATATTAGTCCTTTGTCAGATGGATAGATTGCAAATTTTTTCTCCCGTTCTGTAGGCTGCCTCTTCACTCTAATGATAGTTTCTTTTGCTGTAGAGAAGCTCTTTAGTTTAATTAGATCCCATTTGTCAATTTTGGCATTTGTTGCCATTGCTTTTGGTGTTTTAGTCATGAAATCTTCACCCAAGCTTATGTCCTGAATGGTATTGCCTAGGTTTTCTTCTAGAGTTCTTACGGTTTTAGTTCTTACAAACGTTTAAGTCTTTAATCCATCTTGAGTTAATTTTTGTATAAGATGAGGAAGGGGTCCAGTTTCGGTTTTCTGTGTATGGCTAGCCAGTTTTCCCAACATCATTTATTAAATAGGGAATGCTTTCCCAATTGCTTTTGTCAAGTTTGTCAAAGATCAGATGGTTGTAGATGTGTGGCATTATTTCTGAGGCCTCTGTTCTGTTCCATTGGTCTATTTATTTGTTTTGGTACCAGTACCATGCTGTTTTGATTACTGTAGGCTTGTAGTATAGTTTGGAGTCAGGTAGCGTGATGCCTCCAGCTTTATTCTTTTTGATTAGAATTGTCCTGGCTATATGGGCCCATTTTTGGTTCCATATGAAGTTAAAAGTAGTTTTATCTAATTCTTTGAAGAAAGCCAATGGTAGCTTGATGGGGACAGCACTGAATCTATAAATTACTTTGGGCAGTATGGGAATGTTTTTCCATTTGTTTGTGTCCTCTCTTATTTCCTTGAGC